GCAAGGGGAAACCCGGCCGGGCGCCGGCTGGGGGTCCCCGCTGCCCCTGGGGGACGCTGGGCTCGATGCCGTGGGCACAGGGGGGGCAGCCCGAGGGTCGGCTCCAGATGTGGACTCAAAACATGGGCTGGAGGTCGCAGCAGGTGAAAATTGACTTCTCCAGCCCAGCCTGCCCCCAGGCCCCCGGGGTTGGCATCTGCTGCCTGGGGGCCTCTCTCACACATGCTTTTCTGTCTGTCCTCCTCCAGAGATGATTTACAGACACATGGCCGTCATCGACGGGGAGGTGGTGCACTTCGAGATCCTCGACACGGCAGGGCAGGTGAGCTCGCGCCGCCTCCTGGTTGGACTTGATGATCTTAAAAGTCTTTTCCAACTTAGACCGACCCCAGGAAGCACCTTCAGGAAGGCACGACTTGAAGGCGATCCCTGCTCTTCCACCAGCCTTCATCTGCTGTCTCCAAAATAGCGATCAAGATGTGTTTGTCTCCCAAAAAGGGCGTTTTTGATAATTTGTGTCTCTCGAACGTCAGTTACGGCGTGGCTTCAGCCAAATATTTCCCCGTTCCCCTTACCGGTGTGCAGCTCAGCTCTGCTCCCTGCACCGGTGGAGCATCCTGACGGCAGGGAGGGAGTCAAGGGAGCCGGGGGGTGCTGGCTCAAAGGACCCACCGAGCACGGGCATTGCGGGCGATGAGAGCCCTGGGCTGGCTTCCCACCTAGCAACAGCCCTAACCTCTGCGCGCCCACTATAGTGGCACTGACGCTCCCTTGTCCACGTCAGGATGGTCTCCATCCATCCATCCATCCATCCGTCGCTCTCTCCATCCCTCATTTTGCTCAATCCCTGCCCTGGGCTACCCGTGTAGATGCTGGGGCTTCTGGTGCTAATACGAGCTTGTCTGCCCTGGCAGGAGGAGGATTCCCTGCAGATAGAGGAGAAGATCAAATGGGGCGATGGCTTCGCCGTGGTCTACTCGGTGACGGACAGATGCAGCTTTGACGAAGTCATGCGGCTGTGTTTCCTCATCAACCACATCCACTCCAGCCCCAAGCGGAGCAGTGGGAGCGAGCAGCCCCCCGTGGTCATCGTGGGCAACAAGAAGGACTTGCAGTTCGACAGGATGGTATCCACAGAGGACGGCGAAAACCTCTCCAAAGCCTTGAAGCTTCCTTTCTACGAGATCTCCACCCGGGACAGCTACGAAGAGACGGTGGCGGTGTTCAACGCTCTCTACCAGGAGCTCATGAGGCAGGGGCATTTCTCCCCGGGCTCCTTCAAGAGGAGGACAGTGTCGAAGCTGATGGAGAAGATCCCCAAGATGCAAGCCAGCTCCACCTTGAACTCAGCCGGCCGGAGCCTCAGCTTTAACTCCTTCAGGGACCGGCAGGGGCCCCGCTGCTTCAGCCCCGGGGCGGAGGGGCAGCTCGGGGGGCCGTGCTGGCTCCCAGGAGGGGGAGGTTAAGAGGTGGGGAGGGTGGGATTGGGGTCCAACAGCCTTTTAAAGCCCATAGGTTTTTACAAGCAGGCTTTGCACAGGCAGGGAAGATGTTCTCCACCCACCCCTTTGCTCCCTCTTCCTCCTCTCGCATGGCTGAAGTCAGCAGCCGAGGTGGTTCGTGGTGACTCCGGTGGCGTTGGGCCAGCCCTTGCAGGCTCAGAAGCATTTCGGCAGGGGTCGGACCCAGCACAGACACATCCGTATGGGTTTTCCCGCTCCCCTAAGACAGCTCGCTGGGTGTGTTTGTGCCCTGAAGCGTGCATCCCCAACGCTGGGGTGACCCTGAGGGCCGCGCTGGCTCCCGGGCTGCCATCAGCCATCCTTGTCCCGGGGGAAATGGCCGTCGCTTCTGCTGCCCAGCGTTGCTGGTGGGTAAAACCCCCTGTGTTCAGCGGTGGCTGCTCAAAACCCTCCCAGCCTGGTGGCTGCTCGGGGGGGTGTTCGCTGCCCCCACCCGCCCTTCGGTGCCCCCAGACCCACCCACTGCGTGGGTCGGTGGGCAGTGGAGAGCTGTGTCCCCTCTCTGCCTTTGCTGCAGCCCTCCCTGCCCATCTGCATTCACCGGCATCCGTTTGCCGGAGCCTGGGGCTGCGTTTTTATCCCGGTTTTCCCCTGGGTTTGTGACCTGGAACGGCTGCGGAGGAGTAGACCCCCAGCTCTGCTGGAGCCCTTCTCCCTCCCTGGCTGCCCGGGGGCTGGCACCGAGGGGCGTGCGGAAAAGCAAAGCAGAGCTGTTAGCAGTGGGGGGGAAAAAGCCTGTTAATCCCTGGCACTTCTACAAAACCTTTTTTTTTAACATTTCCAGCTCCTTGGGGCGCTCTCCTTTAATGCTGCTGTAAATAAAATCCTGGGGAAAGGGCAGCGAAGGCGGCGGATGTTGCTGCTCCATCTCAGCCCACAGGCACCGTGTGCTCGGTGCTTTGCCGGGTGCCTCCGCCCCGCCGTATTTTAGGTCTCCATCTCACTCGGGGCAGCCTATCCCCAAGGGA